GCAGGACTTGCAGACAGGGAGAGAGTGCTGGAATGAAGAAGGGCGGAGTCACCAGGAGATTGGGGAGAAGCAAGATGAGCATGCCATACTGAGGAAAGGTACCAAGCCATGTGGTAGAACATAAATAAAAAATATAGGTTAATTTAAGATGCAAGAGCTAGTTAGTAGAAAGCCTAAGCTATCAGCTGAGCATTTATAATTAGTAAGTGTCTGTGTGGTTATTTGGAAGCTGGCTAGGTGGAACAGAAAAGTCCACCTACAGACTAGGATGTGGAAGTGTAAGCCAAATACACCATTTCCTCCTCCTCAGCTTGCTTTTGGTCGTGGCGTTTTATCACAGAATTAGTAACCCTAACCAAGACACCTTATAGATTACTCTTTTGTTTTCAAAATGGCTTTAGGCATGAATGAAAGGGAAGAAGCTTTCCTACTGTTCCACAAATCACAATGGGCAAGTACTACACATTTGGATGAGTGGTTCAAAGTGCAGATATCCTTTGCATCCAGATCCAATTTCACCCCCACCGGTTTTTGTTTTTTGTTTTGTTTGTTTTGAGAAAGGTTCTCTTGAACTATGTAGACGAGACTGGACTTGAACTCACAGAGATCCACTTACCTCTGCCTCCCGAGTGCTGGGACTAAAGGCATGCACCACCACACCTGGCATCCCCATTGTTTATAATGTGATTCTTGAAAATGGGTCATCTTGTGAGAATCCTCGTTTCAGGTGGCCTTTAACTCAGAGAAACTGGTATTTATACAGAATTGTGTAGTCATTTTACAAATACTTGTCAAATATATCGTAAACCTTGTATGTCCTTATAAGCCCTCCTTATATCATTATGTGATTATGACAAATACTTTATATCCCTTATAAACCTTGTGCAGCACAGTGCCAAGTGTTGCTTATTACATGACACTAGAGCTTACTGTTATTCATAATTGAGATTTCAGATGTTTGTCCTTCCTGCAGAGCATGGCAAGTGTCATAGTGAGAACCTGGACCTGTGCATTCCAACTCCAGGCCCCATGCTTTTTCTCCTCATGCTACTACTACTGCAGTCTTCTGGCTTTTTATAAGGAGCGAGGGAGATCATGCCTTGAAATAGATTACTTTTTTTTTTTTTTTTTTTTTTTTTTTTGGTTTTTCGAGACAGGGTTTCTCTGTGTAGCTTTGCACCTTTCCTGGAACTCACTTGGTAGCCCAGGCTGGCCTCGAACTCACAGAGATCCGCCTGGCTCTGCCTCCCGAGTGCTGGGATTAAAGGCGTGCGCCACCACCGCCCGGCGAAATAGATTACTTTTTAAAATAGACATGTTTGAGGCTGGATGGATCAGTGGTTAAGAGTACTTGCTGCACCCATGTTGCATGACTCACAATGGTGCTCCCTTCTGGCTGCATAGGTGCTTTCACCCACATGTGCATATGCACATGCACACACACATGCATATAACATAGACACACATGCACACATACAGAGACAAATACAAATATATACATTAAAAATATATATACGCTGTCATCTTTCAACTGGAGTATTACAATCATACTGTAATTACTATTATTGATTTTAAATATGCCATCTTGATTTTCCTTATTCATGTTCTCTCATTTTTGTCTCTCTAGTTGAACTTTTTTTAAAAAAAAAATCAACCAAGTATATTTAATGTTTCATTTAACCTCATCTTATACATCTTTACTATTTTCTTTTATTGGTGGCCCTAAAAATTACATTATACATCTTCACATTACAGTTTACCACAAACTATTTTCCATTTTCCATAGTTTGACTTGCCCTTTGTACTGTTAACATGTTTTGCATTCTTGCCTTAGACTCCACAAGATATTAGCATTATTATAGATTTAAGCACTGTTTTAAATATTTACTACATTGTTGAGAATACCAAGGTACTTGCACTCACAGACAGCACTAGGAAAACCAGGGAGGATAAACACGTGGGTTGTCTTTTCAAAGGAAAAACTGTATAACCTGTTTTCTGCTCAGAAGACTGGGAATGGAGGTGGTTAATAGCCTAGGTAACTCCTGTGCTGTCTGTAGGGCCAGGCAATCCAGATGTTCCATCCACAAATTACTTCAGTGATTTATTGTCTGAAAATTTATTTCATCTGCGAAAGTTTAAAAATATATTGTTTTGGTGTATGTACATGTGTGAGCCTTCCAAATGGAGCTGTGACCTTTGGCATAAAGAATGCTGACATGACCTGGTAGGACTGCAGCTGGAGCTGGGGGAGTTAATCTCTCCCACTCTGCTTTTATCTACCAACAGAATTCTTCCTGTGAGGATTAGGGGACGGATGCCTCCATGGGACTGGTTGTGATGCAAATACCTTGTCTCGGCACTCATGAGTAGGCTGAGGCAAGAGAATCGAAGGCTTGGAGATGAGCCTTACTAATAAAACACCGTCTCAGTTGAAAAAAAACCAAAAAACCAAAAAACCACATTTAAAATGTATTGGAAGTTGGGAGTCTGGAGCAATCACTTCTGCAGTACATTAATGTCAACTTTTAGGGAACAGAGAGCAGAATGAGAGTTGTTTGGGGGTGGTCCAATAGAAGACTCAAATATCCTACATATTTGCTCATGCATGACTAAGAGGCATTTTAATAAGACAGATTTGATGGGGCTTGGAGAGTTGAAAGCATGTGGACTGGGTACCAAAGGTTATTTTATATATATGTATATGTATACACACACACACACACACACACACACACACACACACACACACACACACACATATATATATTTAAAACATGTGCACGCAGGTGCCAAATGAGGGACCATGGAAAATAATGACTCAGCAAAAATATATCCGATGATGGTGATAGATGGTGCTGTGTATGTAGATTTCAAAAGGAGTGTTTTTATGTGAAAGTAGAAGAACGGTAATGTGGCAAACACATGCAGTTGATGAAAGCATGTGGACCCTACACAACACGAGGAAGAGAAGAATAAGGGCATCGGCCTGAGAGGGCCACAGAAATCCCATCTTTGCAGGAACAAGGCACCAGTGAGAACGCGAGCCCACCAAGAACAGAGTAAAGGAAACCAGTCCTGGCGTTTACCTGCAAACATGAAAGGTTTGGGAGCAACTAGGAGGGGGAGGAAGCACCGAACACGATGGGAACTAACGTATTTCACATACTCAGTTAGTGGTGGCACTACCTTCTTCTGAGGATGTTAGGAGAAATGACCAGTGTTTTTAGTTTCCACAATGACCGAGGATCGAGTTAGCATTTGAAATCACCCCGCCAGACTCAAGACCATGCTGTACATTTGTCACCACTTTAAAAAGGCCACTAACACCTCTCTCTCTCTCACTATGATGCAGGGGGTTTACCTTTTACATAAAGACTGCAGGAACATGATACAGTGGTCTTACCTGGTCACAGAGCCAAAGGCGTGCTGATTATGCCCATACAATTGCAGTACCCATATTGGGAAGGGCTTACAGTGCCCGTATTGGAAAGTGCTTTGTAGAACAGGCTGGCCTCGAACTCACAGAGATCTGCCTGCCTCTGCCTGTAGTGACCGCTTTGCGTGGGGCTGGGTAGACAGACGAGATGGCTCTAGACGGGGAGAGCTTCCTGCTAGTGGAATTTCTCTCTTCAGTGAATGAAGATAACTTTATTGCTATTCTCTTATGTGATGGTTACTGTTGTTAACCTGAGGATCTGGAATTCCCTAGGAGACAAGCCCCTAGACAGGTCCGGGAGAGTGGTTAGACCACATCAGCCCCTGGGCATCCGATGAGGGATTGTCCTGACTGGATTGGTGTGGTGGGAAGACTTGGGTGCTGGACTCTTTAGAATCCAGGAATCTGGTTTAGCATTAATTTTCTGATGAATGCAAATATGATGCTACCAGCTTCCTCAAGCTCTAGCTCCTGCAATCTGGGCTCACATACCCCCAGCCCCTAACCCTAACACCCCACCCCTAACTCACACCCTAACTGGCATGATGGACTTTACCGTCAAAATATCCCAGCACTCGGGAGGCAGAGGCAGGAGGATCTCTGTGAGTTCGAGAGCAGCCTGGTCTACAAAGCGAGTTCCAGGAAAGGCACAAAGCTACACAGAGAAACCCTGTCTCAAAAAAAAAAAAAAAAAAATGCACCAAAATAAACCCTTTCTCCTGTAAGTTCCTATTATCAGGATATTTTATTCCAACAGAGAGAGTAACTATTCTCATAAATAGGATTAAAGAATAGGATTAGCCGGGCGGTGGTGGCGCACGCCTTTAATCCCAGCACTCGGGAGGCAGAGCCAGGCGGATCTCTGTGAGTTCGAGGCCAGCCTGGTCTACAGCGCGAGATCCAGGAAAGGCGCAAAGCTACACAGAGAAACCCTGTCTCGAAAAACCAAAAAAAAAAAAAAAAAAAAAAAAAAAAAAAAGAATAGGATTAAATTACAGTGACTATCATTCAGCACCGGGCGGGGCATGGGGGTTGGGGAGGGGGGACTAGACCATGATACATACACTCTAAAATTTTCTTAGAAGTGTTTCTAACAACTACTCTATATTGGGACCATGGGTGAATCTGTGAATTTTCGTTTTTTTTGTTTTTGTTTTTGTTTTTTGAGACAGGGTTTCTCTGTGTAGTTTTGGTGCCTTTCCTGGCTCTCACTCTGTAGACCAGGCTGCCCTCGAACTCACAGAGATCCGTCTGGCTCTGCCTCCCCAAGTGCTGGGATCGAAACCATACGCCACCGCTGCCTGGCCTTTCAGGAATCTGTGAATTTTCAAATGAGAAGGGTTTGAAACCACTGTCTTCTAAATACTTAAATACAGGAAGCAGTTGTCTTTCCTGTCAGTCATGCTGGGCAAAGAAATCAATAGCTCCATCCCTGGAACCTGAGTCTTAAAGGTAATTAGGACCATTAGAAACACAGGTGTGAGTAAAGTGAGCAACTCGGGCACTTTAATTCACAAGGAGTTTCCACGGAAAGGTGGTTTCCACGATGCAGCTTTCAGGCCTAGAGAAACATCTTCATCATCCTATGTGTGATATGTCTCTCAGGGCTCTGGATGTCTTCGTAAGATTTGACTGGAGACTGCTTTTCTTGAAAATGAATGGGCATTTTCCTGCCCTCCACGCTCATGAGCTTCAAAGCCAGGGGGCCCAAGTTTACATATTCCTGTGTGAAGACACAAGAGGAGACGTAACTGGCAGGTGAGCCTGACAAATGAGAGGTTCTTCCCCTGGGTTGCTCTACTGGTTGTGTGAACACTGTATCATACGTGGAACATGAAAGCCACCACAAAAATTAAAAAACGTACTTTTTAAGTGTATATCCCCTGTGAGTCACAGTAGAAAGATCTCCCAGTGAGCAGGAGGGAAGGCTGGTGCTCTCAAAGGGAGTTGGGGTGGGTTGGATACCGGCTAGTGGAAATGTGTCACCTCCATTGGTGAATATATATATATATATATATATATATATATATATATATATATATATATGCATAACTTATTATATATATATATATATATATATATATTCCTTCACTTGCCAGGGCACAGCCACAGCAGACTTTTCTGTATTATTAAAAACTGGGGTGGGGGAGATTCTGCAAGTGCTACCTGGACTAGATAATGTAACACAGAGGACCTTGTCTAGGAATTTCAATCTTTCCACAGGTGCTTTGGCTAGTGTCTAGGTAAAACTTAACCCATTGTGCCGAAGTATAGATAAGATATCAGTTAACAAAAAGAACTGGAAAGTTACTTTCTATAGAATCCTCCAGCCAGTTCCAAACAGCTCAGGCCCTACCTGGGAAGATTCCTAAGCCATAGTTCATATGTTGTGTTCCTTCAACACGCACATCAGCAGATCTTTCTAGAATGTTCCCTGTACCCATGGAGCGCTGGGGTGCAGTGATAAACATGACCGGTGAAGAACAGCATAAATAGTGTAGCTCCCCTTATGTGGTAATTGTTGATTGTTTTTTTTTTTCTGCAATCCCAGAGCAATTGCATCTTTGAGTCTTTATGTCCCCATTCTCTTGAAATTCCCAGGCATACCTGGAATGTTGCTGGGTGTTTAGTATTTATGGGAACTTAAGAGTGAAAAGGGGAGGCAATGTTTTCAAAATGCCTGTCGTTGTATGCAGCTTTAAACCTACAACAAAACTGATGGATGTTCTTCGCCATGGACACCACAGCTACTCCATCAAAGCTCACAAGAGACGCTGGCAGTGGTGGCTCACGCCTTTAATCCCAGCACTCGGGAGGCAGAGGCAGGTGGATCTTTGTGAGTTCGAGGCCAGCCTGGTCTGCAGAGCGAGATCCAGGAAAGGCTCAAAGCTACACAGAGAAACCCTGTCTCAAAAAATCAAAAAATCAAAAAAAAAAAAAAAAAAAAAAAAAAAGCTCACGAGAATACATTTCATCAAACCAGGGGCATACAGCCATGATGCATCAGGAGTCAGGAATCCAGGACATGAGTGGTGGTATTTGGGCATTTAAATGGCAAAAACACTAGAACATGCTTGTCTAGCAGGGGAGAGGCCTTGGGTTCAGTCCTCAATACTGCAAAAAAAGGGATGGAGTTCAATAGAGTTGTTCTTTACCTATATTGACTGACTTTTAAACTTACCAGGACAGAAAATTCAGCAAAATTTAAAAAAAGAAATTCTGGACATTCCCATCTCTCGGGAGGCAAAGGCAGACAGACACATAGCTATGAGTTTGAGGACAGCCTGGCAGGAATCTCTCAAATTTGAGACTAGCCTGGGCTTCATAGGGAGATTCTATCTTAAGTAAACAAATAATCATTTGATGGTGGTTAGAATAAACTATTAGTTAATTAATATGGTGGCTTATTCCATTTCTTCTGCTTTTTTTTTTACACCCTTCATTCTCCTACCAAACTTCAAGTTTTAGAACTTTGAAGATTTTGGCAGTCCCAGAAAGAGAAAAAGTAGAAATGTACAAATGAGACTTTGCTCAATTACTGGTTTGCTCTTCTAGGCATCCACTAGTGGTATGTATTTTACAAAGATGGCTGGATACATGTCCTATTCCACAGATGTGTTGGAGTCTTTTGTTTTTGCTTTTACACAATCCTAGGAGCTATATTCTTCCACTTGGTGAGATCACCTAGCCGAGTGTGATGGAAGTGCTAGTGTATGGCCTCCAAACACTAGACATGTTCTCTTTTGTCACTGGGATCACTTTCTCTAAGAAGTCAGACACCGTACTTTAACAGAGGGACATTCAAGGCACCCCTGGGGGAGAGAGGCTCATCTGAAGAGAAACTGAGGCCCTGATGCAGTCACCATCATCTTGCTTGACATAGATGTGTCCCTCTTATGAGGTGGACCTTCTGCCCCAATCCAGGCTTCAGATGAGGGTGGCTCTAGCTAGCACATGACTGTGACTGCCCATGTGAGAACCCAGTGGAGCCATTGCTCAATTCCCAGCTAATGGAGGCCTGAAAGGGAGTAGAAAGTATTGTTTTAGCTGGGCGGCGGTAGCGCACACCTTTAATCCCAGCACTCAGGAGAGGTAGGCAGATCTCTGAGTTCGAGGCCAGCCTAGTCTACAGAGTAAATCCCAGGACAGCCAGGGCTGTTACACAGAGAAAACCTGTCTTGAAACACGCCTCCTACCCCCCAAAGTTTTGTTTTAAACTACTAGGTTGAGGGATAGTTTATTATGGATGGAGCATCAGCTAACTTACACTTTCTCTTGGTAATGGAGGTCTATAAATGAACTTTTTAAGCTAACTGGCTCAAAGTAGGAGTAAAAAGAGTGTCCCTGGAGAGGTCAGTGGTGGACCACTTTTACAAGCCTCACAAAGCAAATTTTCAGTGTTTACATTGTAGGTCTCTGTCTGCCGGCCCTAGAGTCACTGACATCCTAGAGAGAACTCTGTTCTTCTGACTCTCACCTTGAAGTCCTGCTCATCCTCATGCAGCAAATGATGGATGATAGAGCACTCCATCTCCGTGGACAAGCTGTCCTCTCTTTCTATCTCTGTGAAGTGGACTTCTGGACTGCTAGCCTCATGGCTGCTCCCTGGGGAGAGGTTCAATGCATCTCCACCCTCTGCCTCAGTGGGCGATTTCAGATTCTCCTCTGGGACTAGAGCAAATAAATAGTTAGGTAACAGCATCCTGAGCAGATTACAAATACAGTGCCATCATTGGTCACAGTTGTTTATTTGAAGGAATGCTGAACTTAGAAATGTGAAACTTAGGGCTAAAGGAATGGCTTAGCTCAATCAACACCACGATAGGGCAGCCAAGCATCCCTGAGGCCCTAGGTTCAATCTCCAGTGCTGCCACCACCAAACCCCAAATGGCTTTTAGAGAAAACAGTATGGAATTTATGGAATACATTAATAAATAAAATAATATAGAAGTAATATAAATATACAGAAGTAAGAGGTGACCCCATTTTAGGAAACTATCCTATATCCTTCTGATAGCCAAGACATTACCCACAGCCACCTGGGAACTAATGGGTATACTAGCATTTTGGTTGGTCAAAGTGGTACCCAAACTATATTGATGTAGGCACCACCCCATCCCTCTCTACGAGTATCCACTTAATTCATTATAAAATGCATTGAACTTGGTGGAAAATGGGATTACGACTCAGGCACAGCAATGCGTATTTGTAATGCCAGCCCTTGGGAGGCTGAAGCGGGAGGATTGTGAGTTTAAGGCCAGACTGTGCTATTTGGAGATATCTTAGAAAGAAGACAGAGTGTGGGAGAAAAGGGAAGGGAGGAGAGAGGGGAGAGAGGGAGGGAGGGAAGGAGAGAGAGAGGGAGGGAGGGAAGGGGAGAGGGAGGGAGGGAGGGAGGGAAGGGGAGAGGGAGGGAGGGAGGGAAGGGGAGAGGGAGGGAGGGAAGGGGAGAGGGAGGGAGGGAGGGAAGGGGAGAGGGAGGGAGGGAGGGAAGGGGAGAGAGAGGGAGGGAAGGAGGAAAGGAGGGAGAGAGGGAGGGAAGGAGGAAAGGAGGGAGAGAGGGAGGGAAGGAGGGAGAGAGAGGGACGGAATAGAGAAAAGAAGTGAGAAAGAGAAGGGAAGAGTTAGCGGACAGGAGACTAGAGCCGGACAAGTGTTGTGGAAGGAGGGATGGAGAGGAGCAGAGGTGGTGGATCTACTCTGGGCAGAGCTCCTGCATGTGGGGTGCCTGCCTGCAAAAGATGCTCAGGTTGCTTTGCTTTAAGGTGAGGAAAATCTCATCGCAAGGAAATTGTACCTATGTCTATCTCTGGCAACTTCAAAGACACATCTTCAGGTGGCACTTGCTGCCCAACAGCTTGAGTAAGATACAGTTTCCTGAAAGAACAAATGTCAGATTGTCAGCCAATGAGTGCCCTGCCACATGCTCACCAGCACCTGTCTCTCTCCAGAGTGTGGAGACAAAGCAGAAAAGGGACCTACCTGCTTCACACGCTGCAGGAGCATAAGGCTTGTTGGAAAGATGAACTACTACAGAATTCTAAAGTGATAGTTTCTAGTGAGATGTGTAATGAGTGCTGTGAGAATTCTGGGAGTCAGAAAGAAGCACCCCTTGAGTTAGCCTTGGAGACAAGGAAGAGTTCCCAAGGAGATGAAATCTGAACAGAGTCTTGGAGAACCAGAAGTTCACTGTGGGAGGAGTCTGAAAGGAGGGCAAGTCCCAAAAGGGAGAGTGAGAATGATATCAATTAGGTAACTGGATTTTCAGTAAGAAAGTCAGTAAGAAATGCTGGGTGTAGCTCAGCATTAGAGGTCTTGCCTAGCATATATAAGGCCCTGGGTTCCATGGGAGGAGGGGGATGGCAGGAAGAGGGCGAGTAGGAGAGGAAATGCATGTAAGTTATTTAAAGCACATGTATGCAGAGTTTCTATACATTTGGAGTTGCAGCACATACTACTGTTAGTGTTTTTTAATTCTTTATTTTTTATTTTACCTGAAAGAGTGTTTGCCTGCATATATGTGCACCATGTGTATTCAGTAGCTTCAGAGACCAGAACAGGGATCCCCTGGCACTGGAGTTACAGATGGGTGTGAGCCACCATGTGAGTGGACTTGAACCCATGTCCTCTGGAAGAGCAGCCAGTACTCTTAGCCTCTGGGCCATCTCTCTAGTCACAGTTCCCTTCTTTTTTGCCTGCTGTCATCTAGTGGAAGCACTGGAGAACAAAATCTTCTTTTTCTCTGTAGCCTAGGTTGGCCTAGAATTATGTAGCCTATGCTGGCATTGAATTTATGGTAATCCTCTTGTGTTAGCCTCCTGGGTACTGGGATTACAGGTGACACCTGGCTAAATCATCTTAAAACAAAACAAAAACCCCTACCAACTTTTTACAGGTATAATGTTTACAAAACACTTTCTAGAAATGTTAATGACTTTGACCCAGCTATTCCGAGAGCACCAGATGCTAACTGCTATGGCACCAGGGAGCATCTCACCTGGGTATTTTGAGATCCAAAAGTCTACAGTTAAACAGTTGGTCAATAAGCACCAAATTTTCCTCTTCTAGTTGTTGAACACAATTTTCCAGTCTTTCAACTTCCTTCCTATGAGTCGAAATCTGTTTGCAGAAGAGGGGGATGGGTATCAGTACTTACTGGCTTCATTTAGTAAAGTCTTCTGTAAGGACATTTGCCTGAGGGAAGAGCTATCATTTATTATTTATTACTGGGTACTCCTGGTCCTTCTGTGGTTAAGGAATAGTGGGGCTATTTTCTAGGTCATAAACAGGCCTGGTAGGTAGTTATTACAGAGCAGAACTTGTCCTTTTCTACCCTTCGGAAGCATGGCTGAACTTAAATATGAGCTAGAGGCAGAGATGAAAAACGCAATTCATTTAGCAATGATATATTGGCCAGTGAATGGGGTTCTCTCTAAAGGTGATTATAAATAAGACAATGAAAACACACTGGAATTTTTTTAATGCCTAAAAGCCCTTTCTACCAGTCTCTATATTAGGATTATGTTCTCTTTGAGCCTGGTGTCAGTTCTGAGAAATGCCATACATATGAAATATTTGCCAATTCATTTATTCTGTTGTACTAAACCCTTACTGTGTGTCAGGAAACATATAACAAATGATCAAGATACAAAATTAATTTAGCAATAGGCTCTCTTAGCCTTGTGGGCAATGGTGCGGTCCAAAGACGAGGGGATACAAATCTCGGTGGATGCTGGGCAGCCAGCTGCTCTGGGATGAGGAAGATGCAGATGTTGGGATAATGAAAAACTGGCAGGAGAGATGACATCTGACCCACAACTTGAGAATGGAGTAGGGCTTCATGCAGATACAAGCAATGTCTCCTGGGAAGTAGGAACCTTTGCACATTTAAGGTGGGAGTGAGGAGGAGTTGGGGACTGACTGACCAACTAAGAAAGAGACAAATACTGCCCAAGAATCTGGTTTTTGTCCTCAAGGTGATGGCAAGTAACTGCCATAAACTTAGTTCGTGTTTAATTTTAAGAAAAAAATATGAACAAATATGAACAGAATTTGCCAGTTTGGTTGATGGAGTTCCCATCAATCTTTTAAAAGCATGTTTGGGACTGTCTTTTGAAAGTAGGCTGGCTGCCATGAGCATGCTCTGGCTTTAGAAGAGGCGTTCCTTTGTTTCCTACACTGTGATGTAAGGGTCTGGATGAACTCCAGTGAAACCAATGAAATCACCAATGACACCACCATTCATTCGGTAGATCCAGAAGCTGGTGAAAGATGGGCTGATCATCTGTAAGCCTCTGATTGTCCTCTTCTGGATTTGGTGGCCCAAAAGCACCTTGACCTATGGGATGGGCAGGCAAATGGGCATAGGTATGTGGAAGGGCGTGGCCAGGGACTGAATGTCATCAAAGAAGGGGAGGAAGCTGAGGATCCTGCTTGGACTGCTTAGGAGACACTGTGAACCTAAGAATGGCTACCTCACATGTCACAGCCTGTATCTGAAGGTGGAGAGGAATATGTTCAAAACAAGAACACTTCCACGGAGCACATCTGGAGGCGTAAGACAGGCCAGGCCCACAAGAAGCTCCTGTGGACCAAACAATAGGCCTAAGACTTGAGGAAAGGCTTCCAGGCCAAGAAGAGCAGCATTGTAAGACCAAGGAGCAAGAGACTAAGACAGTGAAGCCCCTGTCTCTGATAGACCCCAGACCCAGGGTGCTACCTTCTCAGGTGGGCACCCCAAGAACCCAGACTCTGGTCCAGTTGATGCAAACAGCAAGAGGTTTATTGATGCGGCTGTACAGTTGGGCTCCTCTTGTCCTAAGAGCAAGAGTCGCGCCTACTGCAGCCACATGGGTACTTTTAAAGGAAAAAACCCACAAAAGCCATAAGATTACAATTCCCATACAATTTCGTTTCGATTGATTTATGTCTAGAGGCTAATTTCACAAGATCATGGCCTGATCACAGGGTGGGTACAGTCACGTCCGCATGCACATTCTTCCCGAAACCTCAAGGGGGTATCAGGGTGGGAGTGAAGGTTACACAAAGGTTACAGTGGTCTTTCCTGGAACACTTGCAATTATCCCAGTCACAGTTGAGCGCATCTCTTAACAGAAATCTCTTTACATTGTTACATTGTGGCAGGGATGGTTGAATAATGGCTGAGTCAGGTTGCCCTTGGAACTAGCTTTTTTCTTTTCTTTTAGTTCCTCATTCTTTCGGGGCTTGGGGAGTGTGAGCCTGAAGGGTTAGGGTCTTTCATTTCCTGTCCGCATAGTGCCTCGGCGTTGCCTTCCTGATTGATCACATGATCAGTCATTAGCATAAAACAACCCTTTATCACATACAAAGAAAAATATGAGAAAAGAAAGCTCATCAGAGGGAAGAACACATAGAAGTTACTTGGTTGAGCCCTGAAGTGATTTTTCTGGCACCCCTAGTAGTGTGGGTTATATTATACAGGCGTCAACACCAGCAGATGTTCATGGAAGCAATCGAGGCACTAGAATTAGAACTAAGTATAAAATCAAGAGTGGTGGACAGGTGGGAGTAACAGAAGAATGGGAGGAAGTAGGAAGCTTTGAGGAAGTGAAAACAAAGAATGCAGAAGCTAAAACTCCTTCAGGCCAGGAGAAGTTAACGGCTTCTGCTTTGCTATCAAGAGTCAGTGATAGTTGGGAACCCTAAAGCATCCATATTAGTCATTTATTAAATGTGTGGGTTCTTTCTTATATGGGCAAGCTTCTGAGATGTCCTGGCTAGTTTTACACCAACACAAGCTAGAGTCATCAAAAAGGAGAGAGCCTAAATTGAGAAAATGCCTCCATAAGATCAGGCTGCAAACCTGTAGGGCATTTTCTTAATTAGTGATTAATGTGGGAGGACCCAGCCCATTGTGAGTGGGGCCACCCCTGGGCTGGTGGTCCTGGGTTCTGTAAGAAAACAAGATGAGCAAGCCATGAGGAGCAAAGCAAGCCAGTAAGCAGCACTCCTCCATGGACTTTGCATCAGCTCCTGCCTCCTCCATGTTCCTGCCCTGCTTGAACTCCTGTTCTGACCTCCTTCAATAATGAACATCGATATGGAAGTGTAAGCCACATAAACCCTTTCCTCACAAACTTGCCTTTGGTCATGGAGTTTCATCACAGGCATGATAACCCTAAGTAGGACAGAAATTGGTATCGGGATCTTAGGGTATTGCTGTGACAGACCAGACTATGTGGTTTTGGGAAAGATTGTGGAAGAACTTTGGAACTTTGAGCTAAAAAGCCGTTGAGTGTTCAAAGCTTGGTGATCTGTTCTATGGGAGCTTGAGAGATAAGGCTGTTGAGAGCAAGGCAGGCGATGGAAGCTGGGCTTGTGAAGTTCCAGATGAAAATCTGAGAGCCATTTAAAGACTTCACTGCTGCTGTTGCATATTGTGAGTTAAGAACCTGTCCTCTGGTTAGCTGGAGTTGAAGAATCAGCTGTGGTTAACAAGAGACCAGAATCGCTAAAGTAAAACCCTTTGCTTTACTGAGAAGATAGATGCTGATCAGCTGGAGCTGAGAAGTGAGTGGCGATTAAGAGGAGACCGGGATCACTGAGCTGAAGTCTGCTGGGGAGTGTTTTCTCAGAGCCAGCACAATACAGGACACAAAGAGGTCGAAGACTCAACTCTTCCCCCACAGACAGCTTCTAACCCAGTCAACAAGCCACCGCTCTCTATCACGGCTCAGACTGCCGGTGGCTTAGAGTTGGGAAGGAAGACAAATGGTACTTTCTTGTCTCAAACAGTTAAGTTCATAGTAAGCCAGTGACCGGAGTTGAGGGTCTTAGATGTTCAGAAATGACTAACTTGATTACAAGTTCGAATGCCTTAAGGAAAGTTTTGTGTTTCTAAGGATGAGAAAGACATTATAGAGGTTGTACATAGAGGAAAATATAGAACGTTGGGAAGAGGCCTGGCCGTGGGCTGGGCATGCATGGGAGGCAGCACACACAGTTCTCCAGCTCTTCCCAAAGTTGGTACCAAGAGAGCTTTGCAGGGCTTTAGGACAGCTTACGACATCACTTTCCTCTTCCGAGTGCTCAGTGATGTTCACAGCTATTGCTGACTCCCCTGGGCTTTTGAAATACCAGGGAAAGAAATGATCATATACATACTCAGATTTCTGGGGTAAGGAACATGAAACAGAAGAAAAGTTTTCCCAAATACTTAAGAAATGTAGAGATCAGGACAGTTCAAACTATTTCAGCCAGGGATCTAGGGGCCTGATTCAAAAGTACGCACTTGACCTTTTCTTCTGCAATGTCCATGTGAGCCCTATGCCTCTTCGAGATTATGAGCCTCTGGTTCCCCTTGTCTTGTTTCTCTGTGTTAAGGTGATGTAAGTCATTTGGAAATTTCAGTTGTCTTCATTTTCCTAGTAAGCACACTGAATGAAAACACACAACAAAACTAATGCACCAAGATGTCCTGCACCCTTCCCATATATCTATGCTCTGGGTTTTTTGCTGAAAGAGAATGAAGTGGAGAGTTCTCAGAGGTCCCATCCTTAACAGTGCTTTTCAAGCCATCATAAGCCTTCCCCAAAGAAATTAATCAACTTAATTGTTCTGTTTCTGGGTAACTCTTGAATGCAGTGATGAACTTATAATAAGAAGTAGTTTTCATTAATTTTTGAGCAAATTTAATCATGCCAGAATTAATATTTATTGTAATAGAGGAATTAAACCTATTGAATTTCCTTAAAATGCTTTGCCCTTTATTTCTAAGCTTTATGATTCAATTAAACTTGACATTTTCCCTTTGATTGCCAGTGAATTATAAGAAATAAAAAAAGAAATGAAATCAAATACAATTTGAGGCTTCATTAGAAAGAAGCCACCAATACAGCCTTTGTTATCAGCCAAATATAGACTTTTTTAAAAAGTCATTCCCGCCGGGCGGTGGTGGCGCACGCCTTTAATCCCAGCATTCGGGAGGCAGAGCCAGGCGGATCTCTGTGAGTTCGAGGCCAGCCTGGACTACCAAGTGAGTTCCAGGAAAGGTGCAAAGCTACACAGAGAAACCCTGTCTCGAAAAACCAAAAAAAAAAAAAGTCATTCCCTTAAACTTAAGATCTGTGACATGTCAT